CCAGTATGCAAGTGCAGCAGTTAGGTTTCAAACATCAATTATCAGCACTCCAAAAAAAATGCTAGGCCCATTCAAGCGGGGGAGTTCAGACACAACAAATATCTTTGCCCTTGCACGTCATCTTCCTTAAGAATTTTAATAGGCATTTAGATCGGAATGATGTGTACTTCTATTTAGCGTTGAAATCGCTGTTATTTTGGATCACTCTGATCGGAATGTAATAACATGCAAGTTTGCTATACCAAAGATCATGAACTTACGTTACAGTAAAATCCTGCAAAATATCACTAGTATGCTGTTGTGATGCATAAACAGGTCTTAGTACTTACGCGACTAAATATTTCAACTCTATTTCTGGGCTTTGTAATTTCCACATTTCTGTAGAACTTCTAGAAGTTTTCGCAGTTCAAAAGAAAAAGTCTGAAGCCTTTGCAATGGAACACTGTACAAAAATGACTTTAGAACGCAAAACCAATCGTTAGAAATCAATTGTTCCAGTGTTCGAATGTAATGTCTATGAGAGCTAATGCGATCATACGAAGATATCGAACGCGAACACTTGAAGGTGGCTTGGTGCTGAAACCGGTACATTTCAAAAATGGCAATACACGTCTCAGGGTCTTTCCAAAATATGTTGATGGTAAGATTACTTCCGAGCGATGTGTACTATCCATTTTTACTCGGTATACAAGCCAATCTTATCTTCTGTTTAGAATCTGATGCGCTACCAATTCCAATGGAACGTCCTCGTGAGAAACATCCGTCTGGTGATGACGTCTCTATCAAAAGTCAAACTTTGCCTATCACTCCGCCAGCCAATGGAGGGGGTGCAGGACTATATGCTGTTAAGCGCAGTTTTAGTGAGGTAATTTAAAACTGTGAAAGGTCACTCATAAGACCGCTCTAAGGAGGGTGGCTTACAGACCCAAGTGGACTGTCTTCAGGAGACAGAACAACGTTCATCGCCAAAACGTTCATTTGCTGAGCCGAGCACGGGTGACTCACCAGTTGAATCGAATCCACAAACGCAGTTTACACAATA